TCAGTCTGATAAAAGCGTGTGTTGCTTTTACGTCCAACAGATGGCACTGTTTTTCAAAAAAAGCATGTTTTTACCTGTCACAGGTGTGACATCTATATAATATAGGTATATAAAAACACGTGCGTATTCGAATGCAACGTTGTGTCAAAATTTCAAAGCAATCGGTGAAGAACTTTCGGAGATTTAAGATTTTGAACAAACGAACATTTACATTTTTATTTATATAGATGATGATGATGATGATGATGATGATGATGATGATGATGATTATTAATATTATTTCTTTACCTTTCTATACATTATATCCCGTAGGTTTGTTATTAAACAGGCCAGGTATTTTTTCACACATTCTGATAGATATTAATTTTATCACCTATAAACAAATGAAATCCTGCCAATATAATGCATGCTTTCCTTAAGGTTAAATTAAATTTATTCCGATTTGCTTTGCTTTGCTTTTTTCTGGCTGAGCATTCTTTCTGGAGTGTGGCCCCTGGTCTGGATCCAAAGAAATACAATTGATCCCAGTTTCAGATTGACAAGTTGCTTTAAAGCAATTTTAATGTGACTTGGACTGTGCCATCCAAAGGAAGAAGAAAAGCTCTTTGAATTTTGGTCTTTTCTTCTTACCTGTCATATTTTATTTCAGCAGCACTTCACCAGCTGTCATTCTCTTATATTTTGATCTGTTTTTCAAAATAATGATATAAATAATGATCCTACAAGATGTTGTTTTCCAGCATGTTTATGTTGTGCATTGGATGCTACAAAGAAAGGGTTCTTATATGAGTTATGGATGCATTTTCAAAAGGATTTCAGTGGACCCAAATATAACTATCATAGCGTGGTAAATATGAGCCTAAGAAGTATTGCCATTTATTACTCCAAACACATGAGATCAGATAAGGTTCTATAAATAGATAAGTTCATTCTCTATAGTTTTTGTCCAAGGGGATATATTCTCTTTCATGCTGGAAGCTATTATTCAGTTTCACTTGCAAAAAAAAATAATCCAATTCCAAACTAAAAACTGTATACAGAACTCTCCACAGAATGATTATTTTTGTGATGCAAAAGTGAGCTGTTCTTTTAAATAAACAATGTCTTCAATGTTACACTACAGTTTAATTCCAATTGAATCTACAATGACCATTTTAAATACACAGATATTAGAATTCCTGAATGACATATTGTCAGCCATTCTGTTTCCTTTCTGCTTTATAAAATGTCTTCCTTTTACTTTATACAGAAATATATAAAGCCCTTTGCAGACTTTTCATAAAAAATCAAACAACATTATTACTGATACCTGGTTTTTTTCCCCTTTTTCTTTGTTTATTTTCTTTACAATTCTGTATCACATTTAGCAATGGATTAATTTGAAATCTTGGAATTGTAAGCCATTATCAGACAAACTCCCAAAGAAGGCCTGATAATCAGTGTCATGGATGGTGATTATTGCTTCTACACTCAGTTCTGCCTGTCCTGTAGAAAAATCTAAATATCCTCACAATTCTGCAAAGTTCCTTTGGTTTCACTGGGTTAAGAACATAAACAGAGCCCACTGGATTAAACTAACAGCTACTAACAAAATATCTGCTCAAAGCGGGTATGAAATAAGGTCTATGTTACCTTTGAATCTATTGGTAACATCATTATAAGGGGCTGTGGATAACATTGTGTTCCATAAATCTACCAAATATCATTTATTGCCCATCATTTACTTTGTCTTGGATTCTAGAATTCTGAGAAAGGAAAAATCCCTTTTCATATACATTCTCCATACCATGTATAATCTTATATATTTATTATATTAACTTTTATTTGCCATTTTTTAAAACAAAATATTGCAACCTTTTCTTGTAGGGCAGATTTTCTGGTATCTTTTCTAGTCTTTGCTTTTCTTCCTGATGTAAAGTGACTACATCTAAGCCTGCTACATAAAAAGACTTTGCAAGGAAGGCAGTCTCCCACAGTGATAACAAATGCTGAAGGAAATCCACCCCATTACAAGCTAAATGTGGTATAAAGATGGTTCCTGGTGTGTGTATCAAAATACTATGAGCTATCTTGTCATGATATTTTCAAAATCTGCATTTTTACCAAGCAATCAGCATTTCTGACAGGGAGACTTGAACTAAAAGGGCTTCAATTCTCTTGAATCTTATTTTTTAAGGACAGATAATCTAAGAATTGATTGGGAGATCCACTGATGTTATTATCATATCCAAAACTCGGCCATTTTGCTAGACCAAAAGTTATTTTTATCCTTCTGATGGGTCATAAGTGGGCCAGAGGTGTCCTTTGAAAATGAATAGAATTATTAAATCTCTTGCTGAATGCAGGTATCCGTCAGTATCCTTGAAGCAAATAAGATCAACGAGGCAAGGAATAATTCACTGGGACATCCTAATCCAGTCCATGATAGAGCTGATCAGTATACAGTGGATGATCTTTAGGCCAGTCTTTCTCAATGTGTTGTCCTTCAGATGTGATGGGAGTATGTGCTGAGACTTTAGAAACAGAAGCTCCAATACTTCTGGAAGCGGTGAATTGCAGAAAAATGGTATAGGTGTTTGGTCTTCATGGGAAATTAAGGCAAAATTGTTTCTGCCAGTAGTTCTATTTAACATTCTGTTCTTTCATCTTAGAAATATTTTTTCCCTTATTATATTCCAGAATTGAGGCACTAGGATTGCACAAGTTTGATCATGGAAGTGTGATGAGCTAGAGATTGAAAATATACTGCTCAAAAAAATAAAGGGAACATTTTACCATGGAACTGAAGGGGTTTACGTTCCCTTTATTTTTGTGAGCAGTATATAAATGATGTTGATCAGTATCCAGACCGGTTCAAAGACCGAGATTTAACATATTGTGAAACAGTCATACTCCTAAAAGATTTTGAGCTGGTTCTGGATTGTTAATTGTGATGATCGCGAGGATTATATTTGTACAGCTACATTTTGTTCTGCATAGTTTTGATTTATTACACCTAATTACATCCTGTTTAGATATTACAATGATTGTCTATCCTCCTGAATAAATAATAAATTTTATTGATGCAAAAAGTAGCAATTAGGTTGCTAATTACTGGATGTTAGATCATATTTTACCAATTCTGAGGGGTGAACATTGATAACGTACTTTTCAAGATGAATTTAAGATGTAGATTTTGGTTTCAAAAATGCTGCAATTCCTACACTGAGAAATATGTAACAAAATGTGAATTTATATTAGGAATTCATAGAACTAGTCTACATAAGGGAATTGACAAGCTGCACAATCATAAGTTAATCATATTTAGGAACGATCAGTTTCAGAAGAAGAAACTTAACAATATATGTTTAATTGTTCAAATAAAGTCAGCAACAGTAGGTGGTAATACACTTTATTGTTGTTGACCAATATAATAAAGCCAATATTATTTTACATGATTACAGCAGAAATTAGTCTCTGTAACTCTGGGAAAAATTAGCTCATTCCAAACCATTTCCTGTTATAAAATGTATCCAAAGTATCACAGAGCATATTAGCTCAGTTTTGATAAGCATTTAAATTGCAACTACATATAAGTGTAAGAGTATTCTGCAATCCTATCCTTGTTTACTTGAAAATAAACCTTTCTGTGTTTAATAGAGCTTGCTCCTAGGAAGCAGAATGTTCAGGATTGCAGCTTAGGGCTGTTTGAATAAAACAGAAATTTCTGGCAGAACCATTTAATCCCAAACAGTTAACATCTGCTTGTCTGCAAACAGTTCTGGTTAGATTTCCCTCTTCCCGCCTCCCTGAACAAATCATACTATGTTAAATGACAAAAAAAAAAGATGTACCAAAAACATTTAAAGTGCTGCTTGTGAACAATTCTGCTGCTCACATATGTTCAGCAGACTCCAGCAGTGGGTGTGTTTTTTCTCCTTTTGCTTCTTCATTTTACAAAATGTGATAGGCCAGAGGTCTCCAACCTTTTAGGCACCAGGGACTGGTTCCGTGGAGAGAGGTTTTCCGCAGACCGGAGGGTGAGTGGTTTTGTGTGCTGCCTGTCTCACGGATGGGGCTTTGCTTGTTTGTGCGGACCAGTTGCTGGCATGCCGCAGCCCGGTTTTGGTCCATAAACCGGGGGTTGGGAACCCCTGTGATAGGCCACCATATCCACTTTTACTTTGTAATTTGTCAATGAAGACTCCTATCAAAACATCTTTACAGAAAACCTTAAATGGCGATAAATTGTGTCAAACAGCATTCTATTTTTGTTCATACTTGTTTCTTTTCCATTTTGTTGTCTCTAAAGTCTGCTATTACAATTGTATTCTAACAATTCAGAATATGGAAAGTGCTTTGTTTGATTCAAGAAACGGTTTGTTTTATACTTGAACCCTTGTTATTTGATTGCCCTAGCTTGCAAACAAAGACTTAATTAATGAGAAATTGCTACTGCATTTTGAAATGACAAATCAGCTCTACCTTTCCCAAAATTAAGACGAAAATCTTTCTCGGATTAAAAAAAAAAAGCATACTAGTCTGATCTGGAATAAAAGAAAACTGTCAAAGAATTAAATGACATAAGAGAGGCACATACAGTATAAGACTTTCAAAAGTCTTTTATATTTTAAATAAATAGATAAAGTAAGTTCTGAGGGAAGAGACACTTTTTTCTGCTATCCAAAAGGGCTTATGCATGGTGATATATCACTTTCTTATTTAATGAAATAGAATTGACCATCTACTTAATCTTAGTGTAATCTAATAAAATGCCAGATTTGGATCAGTTCAGGTGACACTTCCCATAAAAGGTTCTAGAATAGGAAAAGAGAAAAAAAAGTCTTCTAAATCCAGAGTTCATTTTTCAAATAAACATTTCATTTTATGGAAATGTGTGAAAATCAACTGTGCCAAAAACAAAGGCAAGTGCTGAGTTCGCATTTTCCTCCCATTTTTTTATACTATAGATTTGTCATCAACAGAAGAGAATATATGTAGCTCAGGGTTAAACCCTGCGGTCCTTCGTGCTCTCTGAGCTTGGTGGTTTTCTTGCAGATGTTTCATTGTCAAACTAGGTATCATCAGTATTTTTTCATATGCAAAATAATATTTTATATGTAGGTTATGTCTGTGAGAATACTGTATATATACAATGTTTGCTGTATATTGTACCAAAAAAAGGAAATAAGGTTTCCTGTAAATAAAAAATGAAAATATTTTGCATTTAGTGAAAATGTTTTTATTTAATTTTCAGTTATGTAAAAACAATTTAATATGTTTTAATATACTGGGGTAGAATGTAGAAAATGGAATGTCTCTCAAGAGAGGCTTCCTAATTTTTTATCTTTGGGGCACCAAGTAAAGATTCTTTAGTCTCCAAATATTTTAGCCTGTTACTTTTTACAGTATTGGCACTTTTTAAATCTTTGAATTTTGTCTACTTGAAAGGACAGGAAATATCATTTGAGCTGTGCCTGCTCAAACCCTCCTTAGATATCCAAAATATCTTTAGATAACTAGAGACTTTCCCTATGCCTTTGTCAACTAATTTTGAACAGGGTTTAATTATTCTTGCCTCATTAAATATTTTATTATTTTCACATTTTTAATTTAAAAATTTTAACTCCAACATTTGAATATTTATATACTGTTTCTATATTTTGATGTTTTATTATACACCCCCCACAGTCCTTCTTTGAGGGAGATGGGCAGTTCAGAAATGTGAAATATAACTAAATAAAAATTGACTCTGGTAACTAATAAATTGAATTAATTATTCTTGCTTTGAGTGAGACAAAAATGGCATGGATAGCAACATATACACTTCCATTTATAAGATAATATAGAACAGTATGCACTATATTTTAATACAGTATAATCTAAATTGGCCCTTTCTGTGTTATGATATGCAGGAAAATATAAAAAGAATTTTTTATAAGAATTATCTAGATCTCTACAGAACCAGTCACAGTAAGGAGCAAGGGGAGTAAGTGACAAATGCATACCTAAGGTTAGGTACTTACATCCAGGTTTATGACACTGCATTTTTCATAACTGTAGTTGGTAATAGTTGCTTGTGTCTTATTGATTGATAAGAAAGTTTAAATAGTAATCAAATTTAATCAATATGGTTTAATTCAGTTCAGGATTCGGGATTGGGTTATGTATCTTTGCTTTACATTTTTCCTACCATAAACTATAAGAGAGGGATATCTGGGACATTACATAAGGTGGCATAGAAGGCAACAGTAAGAAAACTAGACAAAAGTTGCTCCTTCTCTATTATTTCAGCAAATTCAGTGGCGGGATTCAGCCAGTTCGCACTACTTTGTCAGAACCGGTAGCTAATTTTTTGTTGCCCAGGTCCAGAATGGACTTCCGGAAGTGGCATCCACATAGAGAACTGGTTGTTCACATATTTGAATCCCACCACTGAGCAGATTGCATTCCACCGATAAAAAGATCTCTATTCAGCCTCCCTTCTTTATAAGCCAAGCCATCGTTCCACAAAACTTGTACAAAATTTCAAATGTGTCTGCTAGGATATATTTGGAAGAGGGGATTTTCCTTTCATTTCCGCTGAATGGAAAGAAGCATAGGCTAAACTAATTTATCAATTATTTGCCTACCTCCATGGGGGAAAGCTGAGTTGGAGGGACACCTTGTTCTCAATTGCCAAACAAAGCTGCAATGTCCACAAGATGTAGGAGATGCTGGCCATCATTAAATCTGCAAAGGAAACCCAGTACCCTGTGTGTTAATTACAGTAATTCAAGATGTTTCAGGAATATAGTCACTTCTTTTTCTTTCAGCTGTTAATTGATTCAAGTTTCTGTTACAAGGCCTTAAACTGCAGTCTTGTAGAGGGAAAAGGGGCTAATGCTGCTGTCTGTGTTTCCTAGCATATGTTTGTGATTGCAAAACATGAAGCCTGCCTGTTTCTCTTTTCTCTCTCGCGTTAGTTGTCCCTATAATAATAGAAATATGCTGCAAAGCTGCAGACATGACTATAGTGACATTTCCCATCCCTGCTGTCAAGAGCAATATAAGACATTTCAGCCAACCATTTGGCTCTTCATTCATGGGACTCTCTGGGTTGAGACTTGAAGATAATGAAGTTCAGATGTTATGGTGTCTCAAAGAAAGAGAGAATCGGTCTGATGGCACCAATGGGGGATCAGAGCATACAGTATATCTCATGTAGGAGCTGGAGATAAGAGACTCTCAAGAGAGAACTTTTTAGTTCCTCTCTGGAGGAAATAAGCCTTGGTATCTATGGATCTCCATACATTAGGAGTTATCTCAAGAAAATTCACAATACTCTGTAAAACCTACATAGTGCTTTGAATATGTATTGTATACAAAAGTGTACTTTTGTGCAATACAAAATAACACAACTGACTTACAGAATAACAGAATAACAGAGTTGTAAGGGGCCTTGGAGGTCTTCTAGTCCAACCCCTGCTCAAGCATTATTTCAGATAAATGGTTGTCCAATCACTTCTTAAAACTCTTCCTGGTAAACCTCTTTCTTGTTATATTCCAGATTCCAGTGTGTAATTCATTTGTTCATAATGAATGCATTCATGCATATACAATGTGCGCATATAAATCATTTGTGACTCTCGCTTATGCATTAGTCCAAAAGCAATCATTGCTATACTGTATCATTTTATATAGTAATAGACCTTCCCCATGCATCCTGATTGTCAGGCAATGTACTTGCATAATTACAGGATTTTTTTTAATAGGCATTATTTCTTGAGTAGTCTATTAGGTGAAGCGTGGCATCAGGAGATTTCTTCTTTATATAGCATGTACACAAAGGGCCTTGATCCATATTACCTTTGAATGTCTTTGATTGAAGTCCTTAGGGCTGACGCATAAATGACTTTTTAACAGGGTAGAATTCTCATGTGATGAGCTTTATCATCTAATTATGCCTGTTTGTACAAAATAGTCCCCAAATGGAAAAAAAAATCAAAAGTTAACAGCCGAAAATCTAGCTTCCAGCTATTTTCTCTAACACATTATTTAATTTTTCTTATCGGAAACCATTTCAGATAGGGATGCACAAATCACTTGAAATCCAGCTGATTATTATATACCTTTTGAAAAATATTCATTTGTTATTGTTCAAAACTTTCACTAATATAGAATGTTTTGTGCACATGGGTTCGTAATATATGGAACTTTGCGTACAATTTTCTGAATTCAAGTTGCATGGATAATGTCTTGTGGATAATGCATATACAGGTAGTCCTTGACTTACAATAGTTCGTTTAGTGACCTCTCAAAGTTACAATGGCATTGAAAAAAGTGATTTATGACCGTTTTCCCCACTTACAATCATTGCAGGATCCCCGTTGATCAAAATTCAGCTGCTTGGAAACTGACTCATATTTATGATAATTGTAGTGTCCTGGGATCATATGATCACCTTTTGCGACATTCTGACAAGCAAGGTCAATGGGGAAGCAAGATTTACTTAACAACCATATTACTAACTTAATAACTGCAGTGAATCGCTTAATTCCTGTGGCAAGAAAAATCATAAAATGGGGCAAAATTCACTTAACAAATGTCTCACTTAGCAACAGAAACTTTGGGCTCAATTGTGGTCGTACGTCAAGGACTACCCGTATACATTTCTTCACAAGAACATTTGAGTGCAGAAGGATGAATACTCTATTCATTATTACCTCATAAATCACATATTTCTTTTATATCCTTAACTCCATTCAGATGCCTCATAAAAGTGTCCTGAACCTACTTAAGAGTAAATATGTTGTTGTTGCCCTGGCTTTTAAGTTTCTATGAGTAATTTTATGTCAGCATGGACAATACATGTGATACTAGTATAAAGATTTCTTTTCCATTAAAACCAATGCAGTCACAAAATGTCTTAGGTCAATCTTACATGGAAAGAGGTTTAGGCTTAGTTTTCGGTGGCCTCTTCAGGTTTCTGAACTTTTTTATGAGTCTCAGGCCAGTCATGGGGTGGTTTGGACTGAAAACAAGTGACTTGCCTGTAGTCCTTCAGTGAGACCCATAGAAAAGTTTAGGAACCAGAAGAGGCCACCGAAAACCAAGCCTAACAATATAATGGTTACATCATTATATATCACATTATACTGAAATTTATAACAAATTGGCAAAATATTATAGGCTGGTTTTAATGCAAACCTTATCCTTTTCTTGATAATGCTTAGATGGTCATTTTAAGGCACATTGATATATAAGAAAAAAAGAAAATGTGGGCAAAATAGAATTTCACTAATTTCTCATATACAAAGCATTGCAGTTAGACTAAAAGTTCATAGAAGCTTATAAATAGATTGATGTCTCTTGTGACCTGGTATTATAATGGTTTATGGGGAAACTGTAGATCAATATTGTGATCATGATACGAACTGTACCATACCAGGTACAAATGAAAGGAGTTTTTATTTCTCTGCATGTCATCCAGGGCTGTAGGAAAAGTCTAGATTTCTGCCTGAAAAATTATTAGAAGAGGCAAGAGGGTAATTTATAGAGAATAATAGATTTCCATGACATGTAATTATGAAAAGAAGAATTTAGACTTATCAGCAAGACAAGTAAATGCAGGATGAAATCTATGGAGCACGCTGTCTAGAGAGATAAGAGTAGCTTGAAAGAAGAAATTGGAATAACCCTACATTATTTACAGTGAAATTGTGCTTGAGAATTCACAGCACTATAGGATAGAATTCCGTAGTGACCAGCTGAGCTTCTTCAGGTACCTATTTCATGATGCAAAATTAAGGAAAAGGGAGAACCGCAGAAACATGCACCAACACTTCCTTTCTTTTCCAGCACAAATTGAAGTGATACCATGCAAAATTTGTGGTGACAAATCCTCTGGAATACACTATGGGGTCATCACCTGTGAAGGCTGCAAGGTATGTAATGTTTATGTGTCTGTGTCGTCACTGCATTCTGTGGCAGCTTCCATCATATTTGGATTAAATGAGAGTCGTTTCAGCAAGGATTTTCAAAATGGTGCAAAAATGTCAGCCATTCTCCCTGATCTCAAGACTACACATGTGATTTTTCCAAAATGTTTGAGGGCATGTACAAGTAGCACAAAAAGAACATGTTCTCTGTAAATATAAAACAGCCTCTCAACAAATATAAATGCACGCATCTCTTTAGCTCAAGTCTTGCTTCTAGCTCCTATTTCAAATGAGTGAGAAAAAATTATGACATTTGAATGAAAAAGACTTGAGTTCCCCTCTGTTTGGCTTAGTCAGGGGAAATAAAAACTGCCAGTACAGCAGGATGTTTCAGTTTGCCATACCAGATTGCTGGGGGGGGGGGGGAGAGCAAATGTGTTGAATAAAAATGGAGCAGAAACATCTATTTAAGAAGGCATTGCATAGTCTATACATATTCTGAAATATCACTCTATTGAACAGAGTTTACTCCCAGGTAAGCATATGTAACATTACAAAATTTTAGCAACTCATATTATTCAACTCTGAATAGTAAGAGTTAAGATTTGAACAGTACTTCGCAAAGCTTAAAAAAACTGTCCCTTCGTTCATAATCATATCATGCTGTTTGTTCCTTTCTTCTTCTTTTTTCTAAGGATATCAAGTTTTCCAGAAACTCTGAAGATATGGTTAATAAAAGTATTCCTTTTATTTACAATAGTAGCTTCATCGTTTTTATAGATTGTATAACTGAGCACTGCCAGCCAAGAGATTTTGGAGATAACTCTTGACTTAAACCTGTTACTCTACATTAGTGTTTCTCAACTTTGCTGTGTGGATTTCAGCTCCATGCTGGCTGGGGAATTCTGGGAGTTGAAGTCCACACCTCTTAACCTATGGTTGAGAAACCCTTTTCTATTAATTTCTCACTTTTGTATCCTGACAATTCCTCCAAAATCTTTGGACCTTCTGGGGGAAAGTGTGTGTATAAAATTGTCCTAATTTAACCTTTGCAACAACTGTGAGAGAAACGTTAAGTTGAGAATGCAGGCAGACTAGCATTATACAGAGCATCGTAGCTAAGTAGGGACTTGTGTTCGAACACTAAGGCTGACATTCATTATTATCCCAACTTTATCTGTACCTGGCAAAATTTCAAAAATTATGCCACATCCAGACACTATTTTAATTGCAAGGATGGTTCTGAGATGCTGCCTTAAATACAGAGATCTAGCTGTCTTTCTTTTTCTCCTTACTAGGGATTCTTCAGGAGGAGTCAGCAAAACAATGCCTCGTATTCCTGCCCAAGGCAGAGAAACTGTTTAATTGACAGAACCAACAGAAATCGCTGCCAACACTGCCGACTGCAGAAGTGTCTTGCCCTGGGAATGTCTCGAGATGGTAAAGCCCTGGGTTTCTGATTCACAGATCAGTCTTTGGAACTGTTCTTCCTTGCAGTCTGTTTTCCCTTTCCCAAAGTAAAGGCATCTTTCTGTTCGGTGACATGGATCCCTGCTGTTCCCCAAACAGAAGGCTTTGTAACTAGAGGGGTTATGATGTCAAACAGAGAGTAAAATTAATCCAAGTACAAGATGTCACAGTGGAAATTTGGAACAGAATTGCTGATAAGCATTAAGCTAAATTTCTCAACAACTGTAATGGGATTTGCCAGACCTTGGTTTAAGTAGACTTTTGAATGCAGCATTTGCTATTTTATGCATATGGCATTATGCATTTAACAGGTCCCTTCCAATGCCCCCCCCCCCATTTGTCTATTAAACTGAAGGAATGCTTTAATCTCAAAACACAAACATTGTTCAGAGCAGGCCCCAGAGCAGCCTATTATGATGAAAGCTTTATTTTATTTATTTTATTATTTATTATTTTACTATTTATTTTTATCTATTATTTAGAGTCCACAAAGTCCCTATGTGACCGAGATGGGCAGCTTAAACTTTAGATAGATAGATAGATAGATAGACAGACAGACAGACAGACAGACAGACAGACAGACAGACAGACAAGGATGGATGGATGGATGGATGGATGGATGGATGGATGGATGGATGGATGGATGGATGGCCACTGAGTCAAAAAAAGCTCAAGGTAGCCTACAGAATTGAAAATACTGTAAGGAAATACGGCTAGAAACAAAATACTAGTGCATTGAGTAAATGCACAAAAAAGAAAATTTCAGCCACCAATTATAACTGTTACAATTGATAACATGAGCAAATTATTGTATTGTCTGTGCATGTTTTAGGGAAAATTGCTGGAAATATTATTGGGGAGATGGGCAGCATATAAATTTAATGAATAAATAAAAATATTTGTTTATTTGCTTCTGGTTTTTATGAAGCAAAGGAGAAAGAAATATTACTAACTGGGAGACAGAGCATTTAGCAACTGGCAAATTTAAAGAGGAGAAAGCAAGCCTGGATTGGTTGCATTTTCTGCCCTTGGCTATTCACTAGCACAGGCTGAGCAACAAGTGGCTGAAAGTGCTGTCAATCAGAAGCATTTTTCAGAACTCCTCTACACTGATTGGTAAATCATAATCAACTTGGACATTATGGAAGGAAGCAAAAGCAACTTTATGTGAGACCGCCTTGAAGAACATGCAAAAGTGCAGCTGTTCCACAGTGCAGTAGTGCCAGCAATAACGGACATTCCTCCATATGCCCAGGCAACTGCCCTCATTGCCAGAAAGATTATGGCTGCTTGAACAGTGGTCAACACAGATATGTATGTGTTGACCTTTGTGTCAATCCATGCAGTTTTCTTAGCAAGATTTTTGCAAGTGGTTTGCCATTGCCTTCTTCTTTTTAGAACTGGGAGAGAGACTAGCCTAAGGTCACCCAGTTGGTTTGTTGCCTAAGTCAGAACTAAAACTCAGTGTCCCCACCTAGTGCCTTAGCTACAGACCAAACTGGCTGCTTGTCTTCCAGCCTGTCTATTCAGACAGAAGCAACATGCTCCATGTCCATCCATTAACCATCTCATGGAATCACGAAAGTGTGCTTTCTCTGTCATTTGGAACAGCATTCCCACAGAGATTTGAACAGACAAGCCTTAAAAACTCAGCTATTCCCCTAGGCCTTGGACTAGAGTGAAAGGAGGACTACTTTGTGAAGCTGGATACACAAGGCAGATAGTGGATTGTTTCTTCCTGGTTAATCATTGTTTTTTCATTGATTAATTGTTTCCATGATTTGATTTTACTGTTGTTCACCAGAGTCAGTCTTACAAATATGGAGGAAGAAGAAAGATATTGAATTATGTTCCAATATAGCTGAAAACAAAATGATATGAAAATTGGTATGGTTAAATGCACATTGTAAAAGCAACTTAGGTGAACTTACCAGCTTGTTTGGGGCTTTCTTTTTTTAAGGAGACAGGGGACTGAACTAGAATGCAATGCCTAGGACAGGAGAGTCTACTACAGTTAATATATTTTGCCTTGAAAATGAATGCAGTTTCTTGAATATTTTAAATAACCCTTTAGGAAGAATGAAGCCTAATACTGAGTAATGTTAATATACAAGAAGCTGCATTTATTTATTTTTTTATAGAAATTATGTTACGTTAAAGGTTAGCTCCATTATGTTCTTAAGGGTTTCAACGCAGTAAATATCGAAAGTTCTTGAGGGATGTGTCCTTGCTCTGTTCCATTTTTTTCGCAAGTCTAAAAACATTTTTCCTGCATATTTTATCCTTTTATTTTTCATTAAGAAGACCAAATCTCTTACCCTGCAATACTTTCCTCATAATGGCAGTGGGTCAAACAGTGACAATGAAATGAAAAATCCCAGAATGTCTGAAATATTCCCTTTTCAGTAGTAGCATGCTACTTCCTGAGTATTCCCCGGAGAAAGGACACGTACTTATGCACATTTCGGACAACCATGACCTGGATGATTTCCATAGGCGACAGGTGCCTAACTGATATCATGTCACTTTTGTGGCCAAATATTACCTCAATCTAGAAAGAAATGTCTATTCATACAGGTGTCTTTTATAGTGTCTATTGTGGAGCTGAAGTGATGCTGCCAGATGTTTTTGGATTGCAGATCAAATGAAGCCCAGGCAAGATAGCTCAAGGTTTGGGTTGATAGGAGTTTCAGTCCAGTAATTTCTATAGGGCTACATTTTCCCTGGTCAACAGCAGTGCGTGCATTTGTGTGTGTTTGCGTGTGTGTGAGACACAGAGAGAGAGAGAGAACAAAGGGGGTCAGAATAATGAAAGCAACGCTGAGGCACACAACATGAGCTCTGCCTCTTTGGAATGCGGTCATGATGTCACTCACATGTCGGAAGACAGAAGAGCTTGCAATGCTTGACCCTGCTTTCATCATTCTGACAAAAACAGCAAGGACTCCTGCATGGTGCTGTCCCCAGCTCTGTACCAACCTATTGAAAAAAAAAACGGCTAATGAAGATGACAATATTGCTTTGCATTATGACTGGCAATTTTCTCCCTTTTCTTGTCAGAAGAAATGAACCCTTTTATTACTTTAAAGTTATATGTGACAAATCTTTTTCTGGGATGTAACCTACACATTGTGCTTCTTTAGAGGAAGTGTGATTCCTGTAGAGTGTTTCCCTTAGTCTGTTATTTCCCTTCATTGTAACCTGTATAACATTCTCCCCCACTTCCCCCCAAAAAGCGTGTGTGAAGATAACAGCCCCGTTGACAGATTGTGATAATAGGGAGTTGGGGTTTGTTACTTTCCAAGAGTCCTAATCCTGTTAGTGCACAGATTAAAGGTTTGGAGAAAATTGATAAATCACACAGGGTACAAATCTGAAAACAATATTTTTAGAGCCCTGCTTTGCTGCACAGTGAACATGGGGAGATGAAAAAGCAGTTGTGAGGCTGCTCATTAGGCACAGCAGGATGGTGGTTGCCTGGCACTCTAGGAAGAATATTCTCTTGATTTCAGTCGAACTTTGGCTAGGGTGAGCAATTGGAGTGAGTGAGCCTGGGAGACTAGACCCTATAGCAGGGGTAGTCAACCTTGGCTCTTTTATGACTCGTGGACTTCAACTCCCAGAATTCCTGAGCCAGCTAAGCTGGCTCAGGAATTCTGGGAATTGAAGTCCACGAGTCATAAAAGAGCCAAGGTTGACTACCCCTGCCCTACAGCTTCCTTGTCAGGAAAAGGCAACCAGCAAAATAGTATACATACAAGGACAAAAGGTTGTCACTTTGGGTGACAATATCCTATGGTCACAGTCAAACTCTATGAGTTTTTAAAAGAAAATAATTAAAATATTCTTCATTTCCTTCAGAAATCTGAAGTTCAATTAAAAAGAATGCTTAACTCAAAGGACATCCTTTCGGCTTTTAAATAATTTGGAATTATTTAAATTCCAAACTTGCAGAGGACTATATCACATCATTTTCTTCCACTCTATTAGTGAAAGCCTATGAGTTAAAAATTAAAATACTCTCTCTTTACAATGACCAACATTAACTATTATTCTAAACATTATAAAACAATGAACAGGCTGATTTATTTATTTTTAAAAATCATCATTATTTTATACTAAACCTTTTTTTTAATTAATGTATATCTCAACTACCAAATAGATTTCTAGAAGAATCAGACAGGGCAGACTATTTTGACTGAAATTTACAGGACATTGAAGAAGAAATCAACTGTAAAATAATCCTGATAAACCCGATAAGTGAATCTATGACAATAATGAGTATGGAGGGTCATCTGTTAAATACAAATATCCATTAAATCCAAATTACATAATTTGCATCCATTTATATCTGTAATTATGTAATTGACATAAATGGCATATGCAGTAAAATTTCAATTTACAGTAATGGACAGACCGTTAATTTAACTAACAAACTATTTATTAAATGGAATGAAATTAAAGCTAAACATTTCTTGTTGTATCTGGAGTCTTTACTTTAGGTCCATTACTTTTTAGTAGATTAATCTCATGTTTACTGGTCTTAAGGTAAAGTTGCTGAGATTTCCAAGGGAATGATGCAGAAACAGCTTGATTCTTACTTTAACAAGTATATATAAGCGAAGCTTTTCTCACCATGAAGTTAAACAGGTGGAAACAAAACTGAATTGCTTGAACTATTATATGAACAAATTTTTTCTCCCATTAAAAATGGATAAGTTCACAGTTGCTCAATATTAATTCTCTTTGAGTTCCTGTACAGGTTATTTCAGCCTCTGCACAGTAAGGATCAAATATATACATCTATATTTTTCTGTTGGTCTAATTGAGACAAAATAAGAGATTTATATGCAAAGATTTTCAAGAAGATTGCATACTGAAAGCAATCTCCCAGATGCCATGGTGCTTCTTATACTGAATGAATGAATGAATGAATGAATGAATGAATGAATAGTTCCAGTGATGGATGTTTTATACCATATAAAAAAATCTCTCAACAAATGTGATTTCTTAAACTCCTTCGCTGCCTTATATGTGGTATAAATCCATTTGTTGTGCTTTATCTAATAACCATTATTAAATCACAAATTGGCATAGCCTTTAAAGATTAACGATCTCTAATCAGTTTGAAGCACTTAGTACCTTGCACCTGGTCAAAGTGATATTTTAAAAATAAAAATACCAATGTATTTTTGAAATTGTTCTTCTTTCAGCTGTAAAGTTTGGAAGAATGTCCAAGAAGCAGAGAGACAGTCTCTATGCTGAGGTACAGAAGCATCAGCAGCGGCTGCAGGAGCAGCGCCAGCAACAGAGCGGCGAGGCTGAAGCCTTGGCCCGAGTCTACAGCAGTAGCATCAGCAATGGCTTAAGCAACCTGAACAATGAAACGGATGGCACTTATTCAAATGGGCACATCATTGACCTGCCGAAGTCAGAGGGTTATTACAGTGTGGATTCTGCTCAGCCCTCCCCAGATCAGTCTGGCTTAGACATGACCGGAATCAAACAGATCAAGCAAGAACCTATTTATGACCTCACTTCTGTACCAAACTTGTTTACCTATAGCTTTTGCAACAATGGACAATTAGCTCCAGGGATAACCATGGCAGAAATAGGTAAGACAATCTTGTCTTTGGTGGTCAGTGTAATTTTCACAATGGTTGTGTGTCCATCTCTCAAGCTGCAAGGTTGCATTTGAAACGGGTTGATCCTGTCTGACTAGATTTGTTGTAGAGTCAGTTTACGGAATTCTAAAATGTTTACATTACTTAAATGGAGCAATTCATGATCTGTTTATGAAGCTGAATGCCACAGTCAGTGATAAATCAATCAAATGATAATTACTAAATACAGAGTTTCTATCAAAAGAGCTCATTATCATGAGGGTTTAATGATCTTTTCGACAACTATACACATTCTTGTCAACAAATTGCTCTGAAAGTGGATCATTAATAGGACTGGCATGAAAATTAATTATAATGCAGAACTTTGTGGTCTTGCATTGAAGACTCAAGATTTACATCCGCATTTGGCATAAATCACTTCACACTCTCCCTGTTAATTCATTGGAGAATTTTATTTCAACTGTTAGGCATAATTTCTTCAGTTATGACTCTGATAATTGGCAGTGTAACCTCATTGTTAGGTGTCTTGTATAGGGAGGAAGGTGATGTCTTTATGATGACCAATATTTTCTATTCACAGTTATGTTAAAAGACATAATTAGTTTTCAACCAATGATTGTTATATTTGTTATAACAATAATTTATTAATCTTGTATGCCATTCAGTGGAATGTGCTTTCTAAAAACTCTTCTTCTCAGACCAAAGTTGACTTTCTACAGCCATAAATATCTGTTCTGCTAGCATTTAAATTTATGCAGAGGAATAAAAATAGGCTACTTCTGGGCAATTAGTCTTGGTTGTATTTGGAGATGTACATTTGCAAGTTGAATAAGCATGATCCAAGCTACTTCAAAATTCAATTCAAAACAGATTTGTGCATATTCAGTAATAGGCAAGCATCAAAATGCCTGCAGCCACTTTTGTTCCTTCCTTTCTTTGGCAGACTAAAATGGTAGACTTTTTAAAAGGAATTGACCCTGCCATGTTTCAGCCAGGTGCAGTGAAGGACTCCACTAAATGTTTGAAATATTTCCCTGGTGCCTCTTTTAAGGCAGAGATTAACAAGGATGGAAAAAGGACAACACAGCAAACTCCAAATTGTTGCCCCAAAGGGCCTATAGAGATAGGTTGAATCAATGGTGAAAGTATCCTCCTTCCAAATGAAATGTATTATTTTTCAAAAACCATTTAAACATTAGGCCCTTCATTTTCTGAGATCCTGAGATTCACATTGTAGTGAAGAATTCCCATTCACTTGGCCTTCTAATTAATACGATTTCTGTACCAGTTGTATTGGGATAGCTGGATGGCAAACATGGCTGCTCCTAAAAGAAACCACTCAGAACGGGATAAGGCTGGAAAAGCCCATTGATAAATTTCACCTCATAGAGCATGGCTGCCACTCTATCGGTTCATTAGAACAAGTAGGCTTGCGGTCCTCTTATTCTTAAAAGCAGTGGACATTTCAGCCAGCCCTTATGAATCCTTTCTCTTTCTTGATTTTAAATTGATATTCTGCCCTTAGTTACTGAAAGAAGCTGGGCAGCTTTAGAAATGGGGAAAAAATATCTAAATAAATGTTAATCCATTCACTCATAATTGAGAAACTTACGCGAGCATGGATCAAGCAGAATTTAAAAGTAAGATATGGCTCCAATGGGCTACTGGACTGGTCAGCTGTGAAACCATATTCAAAATGCTAAGAAATGAAGAGGGCTCTAAATTGGCTGACAGGATCATCACAAACATGTATAATTCTGTTTGGACAGGAGAGAGCAAAGTTAAGCCTTTTAGCTGGCCACATTAATGAGCATTGAGTACTAAGAAAATGAACGAAGCCTGAAGCAGTGCCACCCTTACCACCCCAAGAGAGCTCTGATAGGCAGAGAACTTAATGAGGCGATAAACTCATTGGCCAGTCACTTACTAAATGTCAGGAAAAATACTTGACAACACTCCCCCTCCCCCGTCCGCCCCCCAGTCTTCTCCATATATGGAAGTGAAAAGGCAAAATTACATTTTGTCTGCAAAAAGCCTCCAAAACAGCAGAAAAGCCATGGAGTCTGTAACCACTTTGGAGCCATCTGATTCAGTTTGCTACATCAAAGCAGGTCCCTACTTCATTTTGTGAATCTGTTCCATGGGAATTGAACTGAATCTTTGTCGGAGTGAAGCACCCCTTTGAAGCGTTTCATAGCCTTGAGCTCCAGAGCTTTCCTAAAACCACAGACTAATTAGAACAAAGCCATAACTCTTTTGGGGCTGTCTTCTCAAATCTGCTGGGTCTTGGCTGATTACACTACGCAGACTATACCTACCAAACTAAGCCAAAATATAATTGATTTGCTCTTAGCTTCACATGTGGATATCATAACTGGGCTGCAAAAATCTAGATGACCGCTAGCTGGCATCAAAAGGATGTTTAACGCTTTTAGTCTTTGCTGCCTAGTTGGGATGATCTGGATTTTTTGTCACCTGGATCTGGAGGTGCTACAAAAATCCTTAAGCTAACATTTCCCTTGCTTCCATCTCTTGAAACCCAGGAGTCAAAAGTAGGATGTGACAGAGCAGCCCCAACATCTCAAGGCTGCTATTCTAGTGGTCAGCTGGAACTTTGCAACCCAGATATGGTAGATCAAGCTTAACAGTGATGTGATAATCCAGTCTTCATAATTTATAAATATATTCTTTAGTGTGGGTGGCTGTAGTAAATTTTATAAATATATACATAAATATAGCATGTTGTGTGAATTCAACTAATTTTCTTGTATTTCCCATCATATTATAGGTTAATGCAGTGTTTTTCAAACTTGGTATCTTTAAGATGTGTGGACTTCAACTCCCAGAATTTTGATAATTGAAGTTACACAACTTAAAGTGACCATGTTTGAAAAACACTGGATTGGTGCAATGTACAAATTGAATGGATGAATAAGACATTGTACAGTCATCCATAAGAATTGCTAGTATGGAGACAGAGGAAGATTCATTCTCTGTCAACAGTATTTTTCTTAATGGAATGTTGTTTTTCCATACACCCCAACATCCTAGGTCTTCTACTCTCTCACCTAAAGATCCTTTAACATAGGACCAATGTAAATAAACATATAGATATGTAGACTCTGCTTTAGTGGTACTACCTTATGTGTACATTTTTTTTTTCAGAAGCATTGTTTCTTGGTTACTGTATAAGATTGCAGTATAACTTTGTTACATAAAGCAAGGGGTTTGATGATTTTAAAAAAGTGACTTCAGGTTGTAGATGTAAGCCTGATTCAGATTCTAATGGCTAAGCTATAGTTTGATTAACATGGTTTACTGAATAAGCCATGCATCTTCGCTTGTAGAATTAATTAGCTGAGGTCTATAGCAAAGGTTAAATTTCACTTAAGTAACTGACACCAAGAAATGATATCTGAATTTAGTCATTAAATATTTTTCTTTTGTGTAACACCCAACTTAATGAAGAATTTTGGACAACTCAAATATTGCACCAAAGATGTTTTCTTAGTCCTAATAAAGTTCCTGGCAAAAAAAAAAAATACCCATTGGGGAAATGGATTTGCTTAATAATCATGGTGTTCACTTAAAAACGGTCATAACTTTGAACACAACACCTTGCCTTCTGACTGCAATGACTTACAGTCATAAGTCCAGGACTACCTGTATTCTATTCCTTAACAACATATCAGAATTAAGAATTAGAATCAAAATGTTTCGAGAAAGATGATAAATCTTTAACTTATCATTAGCACTGTACTCATAAGAAACTAGAGGAAGCCAAGCATCGCACTATTTTTCAATATTATGTTTTCACAGCAGCTTAGAATGGGAAAAAAGTTAAGTAGGAAAGATGGTTCCAGCATGGAGACAGAGTCACTGAGAATGCTTTTCATGTATTGAATTCCTCTTTGTCCAGCGGTTTGTTAAAACCTCACAATGGGACCGACATTTTTTTAAAAAGTAGTCAATCTGGTAGAAAACCCTGCAGAGAAACTGCAGTTCTAAACAGAGTATGAAAGAAGGGCAAGCTTCTTAAAATGGTATAGTTATATTAATTTTTTTTTTGTTTCTGGCCTTAAAAGAGATAAACAGAGAATGATTCAGTAATTAAGGGAAGAGTGGGTACACAATGACAACCCTGTTAGCTTGAAGGGTATCCCATGAGAAAGACACTATCAAGGGCTGAATAGGTTCTAACCACATTTTCCAGATTGGGATCACAGCACTCAGATCCTTACAGATCGAAACAAAGCTTCCTTATGCTTTAAAACTGAGGGACAGCCTTGAATGCTCAGCTCACAATGCAAATTACTGCTTTTTAAGCAAACCCGCCAAGCGAAGAATGGGTTACAGGATTGCCAAAATGCAGAGCAAACAAGGGCCCTGTGCCTTGCTTTGTTATCCTTCTGTGTTTGCAGGTACACTTTTAAAAGAGAGGTCAGAAATGTGGTTTAGCTGTGCGTGTATTTTTACTGAACCTAAGTTATTTTTCAAATTCTCCTGAATGATAAAAAAAAAATATATTCAACACACCTAACATCACTTAGGCTATTTTCATTTTTCTTGTGCGTCTGTTCATCCTGGCTGGGGAAATGTACTAACAAGAAAACCTGAGCATTTTGCTAGCTTCCTAAAATGACAACATTAGAGATCCTGTGGCTGTTCACAGAAATAGAACTGGATTCCCATAGGAGAGAGATATAAAGGGGGAATAGAGTCAGAGTTTTCGCCCTTTGCATTTGTTGAACACGGAACAGAGAATCTTCTGGAAAACTGTTCTGACGTCAACATACCAGGCTGGGCATTCTCTGATTCATGGTCCTTTACAGAACTTTCCCAAGGGACAATGTGTCCCAACTTTGGCGTTTATTTACTAATTATCATTGAACTCCAAAATCTCTCTCTCCCTCCCTCCCTTTCTCTCCCTGTCTCTCTCACACACATTTACTTTTATCCTAAACCTCTTCCTCATACACAAAATTATTTGC